GCCCCTCCCTCACTCCCCATACCACTTCCATCCTGGTTCACAGCCTTGTCACCTCCCACCTTGACTATTGCAACTCCCTCCTCTTTGGTCTCACCCACAAGTCTCTTCATAAGCTCCAACTGGTCCAGAACTCAGCCGCCCGCATCATTACTAGAACCCCTTCCATCCACCACATCACTCCTGTCCTGCAACAGCTTCACTGGCTCCCGATCAAGTTCCGTATTAACTACAAAATCCTTCTGCTCACATTCAAAGCCATCCACAACTCTGCTCCACCATACATCTCAGATCTTCTTCATGTCGCTGTTCCCTCCCGCTTAGTCAGATCATCCTCCTCCATTCATCTGACTGTCCCCTCTGCCCGTCTCACCACCATGGGGTACAGAGCTTTCAGTCGCTCTGCTCCCCAGCTTTGGAACTCTCTACCCCCCATCTTGAGGAACATCAATTCACTCCCACAATTCAAGTCTGCACTTAAAACTCATCTGTTTAAAATTGCCTTCTCCATCTGTTATTTCACTGTTGTATTTTAACTTGTTCTTAATGTTTTAATGTTTTATTGTTTTTTGTGTTGGTCTCTTTGTATTCACTGTAAGGTGTCCTTGGGTGACAGAAAGGCGCCTATAATAATAAAATTTATTATTATTATTAAAACAATACAAAAGAGCATAAGAAAATGAATGGTAATGTTAACAAAGCAACCACTACAATATAACTGTGAGGCAATAGGCTACACATGACATGTTAGTCTTCACTGTCAGTGTTAGGGCAGTTGTCATCCTCCTTCTCCTCGATTTCCTGTTTGTTTGCACAGTTGCAACACCTACACAGGTCTGTACAACAGAGTCCTGCAGAGACACAGGAACTCTCCTTGCAGCTGCAGTGTATGGCATGCAAAACACTGTCAGGGGCCGGATTTCTTGTCATCCATGTGACATGTAAGTTTCCATCTTCTAGGTGCCAACCGTATCCAGCAGGTGATGGAACACCTATATTTTGTTTGACACAGCCTGATACTTTGCCCTTTTGCAGTGCTGATGGAGGGCATCACTTGTGAGGGGAATAGACAATTCTGGCAAGGCAGATGATGCCATACAGAAAGCCTTGTACCTAGCCTCACTGACATTTTCAGCAGCCAGCTGATCATACAGGTGGCATACATATTTGCAAAGTAGTGCAAATGTTGAGTGGTCCAAGTTAAAGTTAGCACCCAGATTTTTAAAAGCCTTGAGGTACTCTTCCCGCTGACATGCTACAAAAAATGTCTTTCTTTTGCCTTTACCATAAAAGGGACTTGTGGCTCAAGGTTCAAGGCTGAACACACTGGTTGCGAGAGCTGATGACACCTTGGTAATGTCAATGATGTGTGTCCTGTTGCCCATCCCTGTGAAAAAATATAAGCTATCAACCACACTATCAGCTGTTTTGCTTGTTGCCAAATAGTACAAGTCTGTGCGGACAGCAAGAATTTAACAGTTTCTCTAAGCTGGGTGGTCAGCTTAAAGAAACTGACAAATTTCTCTAACAAAGCTGACAAATAATAATTAATGAAATTGCCTTGCAATTACCTGTAGTTTGAAGCATCAAGACCTTCACGTCTTCCTCAGTTGGCCCATTCTCAGCACCTCCTGGTTTATAAGCAGCCTTTGACGGGTGATCCTCTCACAGAACATCTTATAGCTGATATCAAATGTTGTCTCATCCCTAAAACTGAAAGAAAATAAGCATGATTTGAAAGAATATCAATAAATGTTGTGATTGTGTTCACATACAAAAGAAGTAAAATATATTGTATGTTTATTTATGTAAAGTTAATAAATGACTTACTGTTTTTTCTTTGGTCTGGCAGGCTCACTCAAAAACCTGGTGTACTGTAGGTGAAAGCTCTTGTGGTACTGCACCTCCAGAGCCACACAGTCTTCTTCTTTCATGTGGATTAGAATGCTATGCTATCCTTTAATAGCATAGCATTCTAATGGGGGCGGGGGCGTTTTTGCTTACCTGCTGTTAATGTTTCTGCTTTTGACAGAGCTTCCTGTTGTCATCTGCCTGCTTTGTCTGCTTCCCTTTTTCTTCCATATTATGCACAGGGCTGGAAGGACGAGGCCAGAGCTCACGATGGGCAGGCCTGACCTGGATCTTAGTTTCTTTGTAAGACTCGGTGTCGTCCTGCTCGATGTTGATGGGATGGTTTCACTTCTTGAGCGGTTTTCTGTATCCTCTCCCCTCTTTCTCTTACGTCCAAGGCCCCTTTTAACTTTTGCAATTGCACTCTTGTCAATAAACCTCCGGTAGCATGTGGGATGAAAAGCAGCGTTCTCAGGAATGCTTTCAAACTCCAAATCCAGGCAGTGTTTGTAGTTTTCAACTACGTATCGAAACTCAACCCGAGCCACCGTTGTAGACTCTTCTTGTACATATTCCACCGTGCGAGAGTGAAATCCTGAATTTTTTTGTGCTTCGCAGAGGCTATGTGCATATAGCACTGTTTATGTCCAGAAGATTTCGTTTGTTTACACATTTTTGTTTGAGTTTTCCTCTTCTTCAGTACTGCTAGATGAAACTCTTTAGGCAGCCATCTTGCTTTTCTGTTTACCAAAAGCTGCTACCCTATTGGTGTAGTCTGGTCACGTGTCGACCGTGCCACCTCTCGCGCACCAAAATCTTATTGCGCCCTGAAGATGTTAGTTCTTTATAAAATGCCGAACGTTTTGCTGTAAGTTTACTGTAACTTGTTGTTTTTTATGAAGTTGAGATTGTGTAGTTCGCAGACGTCGGAGCGGAATTCAATTTCTAAAAGACTTTTCGTGCTTTACCTTACGGCCTATCATAGACTTTGGGAAATCCAAACAAAAACTCTGAACTATAAATACCTTGGGCTGTGGTTGGACAACAAGCTGGACTGGGCACACAACAGTAGGCAGCTGTACAAGAAGACCCAGAGTAGACTGCACTTCTTGCAGAGGCTCAGGTCTTTCAACATCTGCAGGAAGCTCCTGAAAATGTTTTACCAGTTTGTGGTTGCCAGCATTATTCGGTATGCTGTTGTGTGCTGGGGGAGCAGCACATCAAATAAGGACTTACACAGATTAGTGAAGCTGATCAGGGAGTCTAGCTCTGTGGTGGGCATCAACCTGGACCCTCTGGTGACAGTGGCAGAGAAGAGAACACTTGCTCGCCATCTTGGACAATGCCACTCATCCTCTGCACGCTTTCATCAGCAATCAGAGGAGTCTGTTCAGTGACAGGCTCCTCCTTCCAAAGAGTAGAACCAATAGACTTAAAAACTCCTTCACTGGGTGGGAGGAGGGTGAACAAATGACTGGTGGACAGGGGAGTAAATGCAATAACCCAACAATAATTTCAGTGCAATAAACACAATCTCCAATTACATTACTATTATATTTTAACTAACCATTGTATTTCTATTTCATATTCTATTATAAGTATATGTTTATGTATGTGTATATACATATGCTCACGTAATGCTAATATATGTGTATGTCTGTACATGAGTATGCATATTTAGATGTATGTGTGCAGGTATATACAGTATCTATCTGTCTGTCTGTCTGTCTATCTATCTATCACTACAATGTGAAAGAGAGCAGCGAGAAAGTCAACTGCACTCAAAAGTTTACACCGGACGTGGCAACTGTTTTAAGATTTGAGGTCAAATTATACAATGTGATAAAATATCAAAAAACGTTTTTGCACCGTCTTTATGGCTTATTAGCTTTATATTTTGTAATAGCAGCTGTCAGCTGTTATCTTTTAGAGCAGGCGTGGACAAACTTTTTGACTTGGGGGCCACAATTGTCCTAAAATTGAATAGGGGGGCCGGGTCAGGAGCAGATAGATGGAGTGTTTGTGCGAACTAAATGTAAAAGTCATGCATAAAGGCTAATATGCTAAAATGCTTTTATTGAGATATTTATAAAACACCAGTCTGTATTATTGATTCAATTTCCTTTCCAGAGTGTAGATTGGAGAGATATACTGTATTTCAGTTTCTCTGTTTCCTGTTTTTTTTTGTAAGCAATGAATAATAGTCTCAGCTTTTTAGATGAGGCTAATATTTAAAAAAAAATGCATATAAAGTATATCTTCTGTAATAAATAGATAAAAATAAATAAAAAATAAGTCTTTGAAATAAAAAAAAACAATGGAATCTCTATGCTCTATTTAGTTGTCATTATCTGTTTTATCGTCAGACACCGCTATCTGTCGACCATGTCAAAAAGTGCTACTCATAAGTTTTTATTGTAGAAAAGAAACTGAATTTAAAAAATGTAGAAATTAAAAATGGTTTTTAGTCGTAAATAAATTAGACATTTCTTTGAATTTTCTCTTTACCCTTTAGTTAGTTTGGGTCACTTGATTACAATGGGAGGAAACTGGTTTGACAGACAACATCTACAGCGTATATGAATGTAAATATTAAGTCTCCCTTGTTCCCATTTGTGCCACTCGACAACAAACTACATAATGATGTGCTGAGACTCAGCTCCTTTCTTCCTGTTGAATGACTGTGACCAAAATTAAACAAAACTGATCACATGGTTATATTGTTTATACCATCGCTTCAGTATTCCTTCATTTATTAACTTTAAAGCAACTGTCCTCGGCACATCTCCCCTTTAATCCAGCAGATGGTGGTAATGTACCTCTCGTTTAGTTGGCAGATAACGAGTCGAAGTGTGTCCAGGAGCGGCGTTAGAAGAATATCCATCCATCCATCCATTTTCATCCGCTTATCCGTTACCGGGTCGCGGGGGCAGCAGTCGCCACCCAAATCACACTGCACCGTACCAACCGCCCTAAACCTTCCTGCGGGTGGTGAGTCCACTGGAAGGTACCAACCGCCCTAACCGGGATTCAAACTTGCCCAGGAGGTGAACCCTGGGGTTCCACACCAATGACAGAGACATTGCCTCGGGGCCAAAGTGCCACAAGAATAGCAAGGTCAAAAGGTCTGCACTCATCTCTATACTCTATACCAGGGGTGTCAAACATACGGCCCGCGGGCCGGAACCGAGGAGGTTCGATCTGGCCCGCAGAATAATTTGAAAGTGGAAAAAAAGCGTAAAAGACATGGATTTAATTTTTTTAAATTAAATTTAATTCAAGAATTATCCGCTAGGGCGCACTGTTTTGCGCCCTTGACGTAATTTCTACCCTGTTCTCTACCTGCCTGCTACACCCTCATTAGCAGAAATGGCGTTATCAAAAAAGCGAAAAGTAGATAAAGAGTGTAGAATTTTCCAAGAAAAATGGACCACGTCCTATTTATTTACGGAAACGCACGGTAAACCTCTGTGCTTGGTGTGTTTGCAACAAGTTTCGGCATGTAAGGAATATAATATTCGGCGCCACTACGAGACTCGCCACAGCGCAAATTATGACAACTTACAAGGACAACTGAGAAAAGATAAGGTCAAAGAATTGCTGGCGGGTCTGAAGAAACAGCAGTCAACTTTCACCCGGAGCCGAGAAGTCAGTGAAGCTGCAGTAAAAGCCAGCTACCTAATTGCTAGTGAAATAGCATCAGCATCAAAGCCGTATTCCGACGGTGACTTTGTTAAAAGATGCATGATGAAGGCGGCTGAACTCGTATGCCCCGAGAAGCGACAAGCTTTTGCCAATATTAGCCTGACGAGGAACATTATAGCGGAGAGGATTTCGGAACTATCGGCAGATTTAGACACCCAATTGAAACAGAGAGTCATGTCATTTATTGCACTTTCCGTTGCAATTGATGAGAGCACCGACATCACGGACGTGGCTCAACTGGCCATATTTATTCGTGGAGTTGATGAGACATTGACTGTTACCGAAGAGTTTGTTGAGTTGGTGCCTATGATGGACACCACAACAGCCGAGGACATTTTCGGGTCTGTCGTTGCTGCACTGGACAGAGTTGGAGTGGACTGGTCCCGTGCTGTCAGCATGGCTACAGACGGCGCACCATCCATGATCGGAAAGAAAGCAGGTGTCGTGACAAAGTTCAGAGAGAAAGTACAAGCCCTTAATGGAGGAGATCGTTTCTTGACATTTCACTGTATTTTGCACCAGGAGGCATTGTGTTGTAAGTCCTTGAAAATGGACCACGTCATGGAGGTGGTTGTTCGCACTGTAAATTTCATCCGAGCCAGAGGTCTTAACCATCGTCAGTTTGACACCCTTCTCAGCGACAGCAACATTACACACAGCCTGCCATACCACACTGAAGTGAGATGGTTAAGCCGAGGCGCTGTGCTGAGGTATTTCTTTGATCTACGAGAGGAAATCAGACAGTTCACGGAGAAAAAAGGAAAACCGTTGTCGGAATTACAATCCCAGGAATGGCTACAGGACCTCGCATTTTTGGTTGATATTACTGAACACTTGAACAGTCTGAACAAAATGTTGCAAGGGCGCAAAAAAGTTGTCACACAGTTTTTTGACAAAATACAGGCATTTAAGTTGAAACTGACTTTGTGGGAGACGCAACTGGCAAGTGGAGACCCTGCTCATTTCCCCTGTCTGAGAGATGTGCGTGTGACCAGACCTGATGCGGACGTGAAACGGTACAAAGACAAGATTGCAGGATTACTGTGGGAGTTTGAGAAACGATTTCAGGTATTTGGTGAACTTGAGACAGAATTTTCAGTTTTTCGCTCACCGTTCACAGTTAAAGCTTCTGATCTGCCAGTCGACATCCAGCTAGAAATAATTGATTTGCAATGTGACGCAGATTTGAAGGGCAAATTTGCCTCCGTAGGTCTGGACACATTTTATCAGTATCTATTACCAGGGTACCCCAAATTAACAGCCATGGCTGCTAAAATTTTGTGCATGTTTGGGACAACCTACCTTTGTGAACAAATTTTCTCAGTAATGAATATCAATAAAACAAAAATGCGTTCAAGGCTCACACACAAGCACTTAAATGACATTCTGAAAGTGACAGCTACTCAGGACATGACACCTGATGTTGATGCACTTGTACAGGCCAAAAGATGCCAAATTTCAGGAACAAAAACAAGTCCAGAGTAGACTAACGTCTTTAAAATGCTGCCTTGCATTTTTT